GGAACGTAAAACCCGCCCCCGCCCCGTTGCCATGCCTAGCGACAACTAAACACTATCACCACCATTCTAAGATTTAAAGGGAACTAAGATAAATAAAATAATAATAATAATAATAATAATAATGTATTTTAAGAACCACACATACTTTCAAGTTTCACAAAAGAGCATTACACTCCTAAAACATTGTGTTACAAAAACAAACTCAAATGTACAATAAATTTTACAAAAATAAATAAATAAAGTGATAAATAAAGCACATAAATGTTGACAAAGGCTCGCATATTTACTATGCAAGCTTTTAAATATTTTACTTGATAATTTTAAGTACGTGAATAAAATATTTTATTTCAATCACCACTTATTTTTGAACAAAAATTATTTGTCTCATGGAGATGACATAGTTGATTTTAATTTTTTTGTTCCTATTAACTGGTATCTAAGGTTAAATTTAACTTCTTTTATATTTTATATATTTTCATGTAGACTTGTATTAAGATGGAATAGTGATTAGTTTTATCTTTACATAAAACTTTATTCTAATACTTTTTTTTTGTAAAAAATAAAACAAAATTTAAAGTATTATTAATATAAAATAAGTAATTCTCAACATAATTTAGTAATATTGAACTGAATAAACAACATGTTAATATAATAATAATACATGACTAAATAGTCGTGTAGAACCAATTTTTCACCTTCTACAATTGCATGTTCCCCAAAATTAAATTCATCTAAACTATGAATTTTTTTGTTTATATTATGTACTATTCATTTGTAATTATATTGGAATAAAACCATTTTATATGCCTAAGTCTATTTTTTTTCCTCAGATGTTCATTTTTTATCCATATTTTTTTATTGCAAATATAATTCTTTTAGGTTTTAAATCTGTGTAATGTTAATCACAAAATATATACCAAAAAAAGCTGAATTTAGAGTGACTTTCATATAAGGAATAATGTCTCAAAGTGACTTTCATACAAGAAACAACGTCACTTTTTATTAAACATATTTTATGTTTCTTTTTATTACAATTAAAATTTATAATTTATTATAATTTTTTGTTTTTAATGTTATTATTTGTCATGTGACTAATTAATTGTTAATCATTATGTTCTATAGTTGCATTTTTTTAATAATTTTGAATAATATGTTAATAATAAATTCAAATATTACCTAATTTTAAAAATAATTAAAATCAGAATTACAGTATCTTTAAAAAAACTAAAACTGCACATCATTTTAAACATGTTAATAATAAATGACATTACTTAATTTTAAAAACTATAAAAATACAATTAAAATATTTTAGAGACCAAAATTGTCCAAAGCTGACCAAAATTATCCGAAATCAACAAAAGTTACGAAACGATGCGTTACAAGATATAAAACTTTGTAGCAAGGACCCCTGTGAATTTGGATACTATACTATGCTCGTTACGAGAAACGAGCGTTGATGCAGTGCCATTGTTGATGCATGGTGCATTTGGAACCTGAAGAGAAGAGAAGACGGTTGAGTGAAGAAGTGGTTGGTTGGTAGATCATGATGCTGGATTTGGGTCCGTTCTCGAATGAGAACTTCGACCCGAAGAAATGGATCAACTCGGCGTGTCAGAGTCGCCACCCTCAGGATTCGTTGGACAAGCACCTCGTGGACATGGAGATGAAGCTCCAGATGGTCTCCGAGGAAATCGCCGCATCGC